AGTGTTAACTCTATTAAAAACTGTATCTATTCAGTTTTGACCCTATAACTCCAAGTATATCATATTTGATACCTGAGTTTTTAGACCTCTACAGCATCTATCCTAACAGGCTTATATGTTTTTGATACAAAAATGATACAAATTTAAACTTATACAATCAATTTCCCTCTTTTTCATTTTATGAAAGGTTCAGTAACCTGGGAATTGGCAATTTATCTCAATTTATCTCAGGAATTTATTTTTAATATAAAATCCAAACAAAGTGAGAAGGTTAATTGCTTTGGTTTCTTTGCAGTGGCCCTCCCACAGCTTGTTTGTTCGCTCATGTTAACCAAAACACTTTTTCTAAATGATGATCAATACTGAAGTAATTATTTTCCTTTAAAACAAGATTTTTCTTTAAAAAAAGAAAACTAAATTAAATTACTACAATATTTTGGGATTCATGTAGTAAATATAATATATAATTTTATATAATATTTATTCACTTCACTTTATGGGTGATTCTTTTACTTTATCACCAATGAGTATGTGATGCAGTTGGACTCATGGGGTATGCATCGATATTAATAGAAAGATCTTTAAAGATTTATAGTGAGCCAATGATGAATGTACTTGGCTGAATGCTGGCAGGTTTTACAGTAAGATGGTAACCTGCCTTGTCGATACGGTCATGTGATATTCGGTGTATAGTGTGTGTTTTATACCCCTGTATATGTACATAACCAAGAAAAACAACGTGTAGTACCACATATCTTAATAGAGATCTTTGTACCTCACTTGCATAGTCCCTCGTGTTCACACTGAATTTAATTAGCTTCCACAAACAGCTCATAGTTGACACAGCCCAAATTGGTCCCTTATCTTTGCAGCAGTTTCATTTCACACAAAACTACTTCCACTTTTAGCGGCTGAAATAATGACTGGAAAAACAAAACGGGTTTCATTATTTCTGAGAACAGGTAGGAGTGTAAGAATTAAAGTTCCCACTGTCAGATGAATGTTATTTTTGAGCGTGCCATCCAATCATTGAGCGAACTCATCAAATCAGAGAGAGAAAAGAAAAATCAAAGCTCCACTGCCTAAAGGCACAAACGGCTGGGTCAAATACAACCCACAAGTAAGATTTAACCTACTTGGAGTGTCAGATGAAACCTTATGAAGTCTGAAGTGGCTGGAAAATCACCAAAAAAGATATCAAACTCACATCAAGACACTTTTCTGTGATTGCCTTGACTTTCCAGTTGTACAGTGTCCCCAAGGCACCAAGAAAATAAATGCCATCTGACTAAAACCTACTGTAATATCATTGAGAGTATTGAACATATCAAACTCACTGAACTTCGCTATGACCAGGTGACGGTTTCATCTAATGAAAACTGTCTTTGTCCATTTTGTCCAGTCTGTGCTTCATCGTTGTTTTTTGTTTTGTTTTTTCTCAGAGAAGAAGAAGAACTCTCTTGCTTGATGAAAAAGCAAAGTTTGGTGATCTTGCAGGCTTGTGCTCGAAGGCACAGAGTGGTTTGCTTTCAGGTCAGATGTGCATTTTAGGAGCATTCAATCATTGGGTGGATGACTAATTTCTAACATAAAAAATGATGTCTTGAGACAGCTGTTTGGTGGTTTTCAGTAAATCAGATGGATTTGTGCATTTGTTTTTGGACCGTTTTTAACTCTGGATTGAGACATATTTGACACAAAAACAAGCACTAACATGGCAACCCCAGAGTGGAGCTCTGTGGCACAGAGAGATCAGATATATGACCCTTAGAAATCCTGGAAACAAATTTTAATTACCTTCATTAATTTGACACAAATTTCTTTTAAAAAGGTAAATATCAGGGTACCATGCCAGTAAATACACTATATCATATTAGTTATGTTAATCATTTATATATATTATGCAGTACTGTGAAAAAAGTCTTGGTTCCACCTACATTTTTAAAAATATTTTACTATAAAAATGGGAAATTGGTGCAGTGAGTTATAGCAAACATAAATGTAGATACAGTAGATAAAACAAAAACAGCAAATGTGCAATTCTCACTTGCACTTGAAAGTCGGTCATCTTTATTCTTCAACGCTGCCTCGACTCTCTCAGCCAAGTTTTCCTGTAATTTCTTTAAGTAGCCTTCAAGAATAATTCTCCAGGCCTCTTGAATGACTTTCAAAGCTCTTCTTTGGATGTCGACTGTCTTTTGTTTTTCTTTCAAGAAAACCCACAGTGCTTGAATAATGTTGAGGTGGATCCTCTGTGGAGGTCAATCCAATACCACACTGTTCCCCTGTGTTTTACTGTCCAGGTGTGCTTTTACACCAGTAGTGCAGTTTGGGATGATTGTCATGCTTAAAGTCACTGTTGTACGTGACCTCCTGCTTACATACTGATGAGGGTTTGAATCATGAACGTCAAATTAAGATTCATCAGTCCATGTGACCTGTTGCAGCTGATTTTCTGTTTGGTTCTTATGTAATTTGGCAGACATCACCCTTTTCTCCCTGTTGCCCTTCCTGGGTTTTTGACAGCCACCAGTTCACAGTAGATGAACTGGAGGACCAGATGTATGTGTCAGGTTCTGTGTCAGCTCTTTCATTTAGTTTTTCTGCTTCTTAAGGGCGTGACTTTCAAACACTGTTCATCTGCTGTAGATAATTTTTAGGTCTGATGCTTCTTCTTTTGCCCTTCACTTCTCCAGTTTCTGGTGCAAAAGTACTTTTGTATTCCATTTAAACTGAGTGATCTTTGGCATTTTCTATAGATTCAACAAAAGAAACAGGAGCACGTTATGTACTTTGCTAAGTTGTCTCTTGTGTTCATCTTATAATCAAAAGAAACACTTTGAAAGACCTTCAGAAAGGCTGGAGGACTTAATCTCAAGAGCACTTTCAGAAAGATTCAAGAAAGTCTGACCCCTTGAAAGTAGAACTGTAAAATATGAAAAAGCTTTTGCACAGTACTGCATGAATTTAGAATAGAATAGAATATATTTACATATGTCATCTAAAGTGCAAATAAATCCAATCTGATTTAAAGAAGCGTTCCAATTCAAAAATGAGTAATATATGGCAGGTGTGAAGTACACATACAGTACTTGTTAGTGAGGTCAGTTTATTGTTGTTTTGTGGTTTCTCGTGGTGAAAACAACAAAACCATCACAAGACTAACGCGAAACTAATCCTTTAAAATAAAAAAGGTGGTGGGGGGGGGGTCTAAAAGAGGAACATTTATCTGTATCCTTCTTTTTTTTTAATGTACCTTTAAATGAATAATCAAACTGAAGTCCCGCTGAATGCTCTGTTCGCCTGGTGTTTTACATTAGAGCACCGCAATTATAAGTCAATGCTGATTTTAACGACTTTTTGCAGAACGGCCTGACTGTGTCAGCTTTATGTTTGTGGTGCGTTTCTAAAATGAAATGAAGCTCTTGTAATCAATAACTTTTTGGACAGTGTTCTTTTCTCGTCTCTTTCTTTTCTGCAGGCTGATACGATAATATAATTTCCATCCTGCACAAGTGGACTCAAAACAATCGTGTGTCTAATCCCATCCTCTTCCTCAGTTTAACGCGTCACACCAGGAAGTCAACTAAAGGTCAGACCTTCACATGTTGCAAAGGGGGAAAAAGAGAAAGAAAAGTTGGGCTGTCCTCTAAACTGTTGGAACTTAAGAGTATGATAACGCATAAAGAGCGCTGTCTCCCACAGAGCTGCAGTAAATGTGGCCACTTCACCCGACGTGAATATTACAATGGCTCTCGTTGTAGCCTGGAAACAAAAGTAGATCCACCTTCACTGCGCCGTGCTGGTGTCTCTTTTAGGTGTTGCCTGGCCAGCTATGAGCCTAGTGCATTAGTCCTCCTCCCCATAAGAAAATCATCTTGAATAACACCATGTCGAGTCTCTGTGACCTCTGCGTAAAAAGAAGTTCGTTTTCGAGTTTCGGACTTTTTACAATCCCAATCTGGGCTGATTAAAAGGTCGGATTTGTTCTATTTTATTATTTTGCTGAGTTCATTTCAATTAATGCAATTAATTACAAGTCGCTTCAATCTGACATTATGGTTAGTATGATTACTAAAATGCACTCCGACGGTGGAGCGTAAACAAAGACAAACTCGGTTTACCCCTCCTTCCCAGCTTGAAATAAACCTTTATGACGCACATGCGTCAGAGCCAGGGGCGTCAGACTGATGTGATGTATGTTGCATTTTAGGAGACTCATAAAAATAAATGCAAGGAATGGAAGGAAAGTGGGATGGTTTGTGCCCACAGGCGGGCCCTGCAGCTGTCTTTATTTGTAGCCAAGTTGGAGCAAAGTGTTCACTGTCCTTTTTTTGTTCTTGTGGAAAACCATTAAACCTAATGTAAATATAACCACAGGGACAAAACACACAGTTTCTTTTTAAAAGCAGGATCTGAGCAGGATCTCTTGGAGTGACGTCAGGTTTCAGTTGCTGAACTCTCGTCCTGCCTGCGGCTGCACTCAGAGGAACTGTCTCTTTCAGCACCAACACACCGCCCGCTGCTCTTCTTCCAGCCACAGCTTTGTCTCTCCGGTCTCTCAGGATCAGTCTCGGGGTGTCTCACAGCCTGAACTCGATCTGCTCTGTCAGACTTTCCTGGTGACGCATCGTTAAAAGTTCAAATTGTGCAGCTGCACGAAAAGAAATGATGTATGTTTCCACAGTGCACTCGAGCACATCACGCTACGTCATTCTTCCGCGTAATTTAACCTACAGGTGATGTTCAGGAGCTTAAATCTCACGAGGCTGATGACACACAAAGCTCCATTCTCACCGCGCAGTTCCCTTTGGAGCAGGGAGCGAGTGCTGCAACATGTTGCTTAAAACTTTACCTACAGACGTGTGCTGTGAATATGTTCCTGCTCTCCCCTAATTGTTGCTGACAGTCCGCTTTATCGCCCTAAAAATGTAACTGTCCTCGTCACAGATCACAGTGAGCCTGTAAAGATTTATACACATGTTAGAGTTTAGGCTTACCTATGGTGGTTATCACCGTGATGGCAAAGTAAAATGACCCTGCGAATTTCCACTGCACCCCGGCTCTGTGGGGCTCAGCCTCCATGATGATGCTCTCCAGTTTGCGGTAATCATCCTCGCTGATGTTATATTTCCCCTGGAGACGCTTCTCCTCGGCTTCCAGCTGCTCTTTTTCACGCATCTCGAAGTCGGACTCCAGGGCGTCAAAGACAGCGGCCCCGACGAGCAGGTATGTAAACGTGCAAATGATCAGGGACAGGGTCCGCACGTTTTGCCGCTTCATGGCCAACAGGAACCGGCGACCGAGGGGCTCATGTCCCCTCGGATTCTCCGGGAAGACGCAGCAAGCGTGGGGATAGCCGTGTGGACAGCGCCTGGAGGCGGAGGCGCGGAAAGGTGCGCTCCGGTGAACGCCGGAGTTGGAGCCCCCCGCCTTGTTGTGATCCCGGTGGCAGAAGCCCAAATCCTGCTCCTGGTTAGTGGAGAGACACAAGAGACTGCTCGAGCGCCTGGACCAGGAGCCTTGCAGCCGAGAGACCCTGCGCAAGACCTGCCCAAACCAAGTCCTCCCGGTGCGCAGTGCCATCAACAAGCTGCTTCCAAGCTCGTCTGTTGCTCTCTGTTCTCTACGTAGGTCGGAATGAACCACAGAAATCAGCACTGACGGATCCTTTCTTTTTCTTTCCTGCTCCAGTCGAACTTTGTCTGTGAGGAGAATTAAAATGTCCTACAGCCGAGCATCTTCCCGCGGGTCTTTAAGTTTCAGCTAAACAACAACAACCTGTTCATCCTAACATCTCCGGGATATTTTTAGCTGCCATTCTCCACACACGGGAGAGAGAGGAAGACAGAGAAAAAAATCAATTTACTGTCCGCGGAACCCTCAGATCTTCCTCGCAAGCGGCGGACATCCTCATCACAAATGTGCTGAGTCGTCCCTAAGATGGGAGGGTCACGGAGTAAGGAGAGTGGCGGAGAGTTTGGAGTTGTTACTCACACAATGCACATGAAAGATTCACGGCTCCGTATCTGTTGCTTCATCCGCGCCTCAGCTCAACACTTGTTGTTGTTGTTGTTTTAGGAATGGAAAAAAAAATCCTAATAACTATCAAAACAGTTTCCATCGGAACGAAAAGTTTCCTTCAAAGGTAAATGTGTTTAGCAGCTGGAGCTGCAGGAAAAAGACACTTTACTCGTGGAATAAACACAGCTGCTCTCAGCGCACTCCGTGTCCGCAGTGGCACTCATGCTCTGTTGCGCACACCGCGCTCCAAAGCTCCTCTCCCGATCTGTATGCTCATCACTTTGATTTGGGACCGAAAAAAAAGAAAAGAAAGAAAAACCCACATGTGTGTTTTTACTCCTCGTGTCGGGGTTTCTCAGTTCACCGTGCGTGTCACGAGCTGCTTGTATTTTGAAGGCTCCACATTTGATGTCACCACTCACTCCAGACGCTGCTCGGTGGGCGTCGCTCCTCCTTTTCTCAGCGTTTTTCTCTTTTTCCAAGTGTCACGATTCAGCTCTCAGTCTGCCCACTCTTGGACGCTTTCTCTCCGCAGGAAAATCAGCCCGGCGTGCAACAGATAGAGCCCCCTCCCACCCTCCTGTGCTCTCCATTACCAACGACCCCTTCCACAGTGACCACTCCTACTCATTATATGGACCGAGAGAGTTCACTTTAATGTTCACAATAAAGCTTTTTCTTTCCCTCCACATTCTGGCAGCAGCGGGAATCAGCTCTCCGGACCGGACTCAGCTGCGCATGTTAGCGCGCTCTCCATGGTGCTGAGGACAGACGGACGGAAAGCGCACTGCTCTGCACCATACAGACACGGGTTTTTGTACACATACTTTAAACAGACACAGAAACACGTGACGTGCAACAAGGAGGCATTCGATTGCATTTTAAACAGAAAATCGAGACTGGGTTCCCACATGGCAGCAGCGGGAGACTGTCCCGCAGCAATTACAGTAATCTGATTAACAGCAGTGATGAGATTCAGCACAGGCAGCAAATAAGAGGTTCTAGTTTTTTCTGAACTTCAATCCGAAACATTTACACTGCAGTTTGTCTGAGTTTGATCCACAGTGTCCACGTTTTACACATTCCACACAACAGTGGAGGGTAAACGCAGACAGACCATGCGTGCTGAATCCTGTGCGTGCATCCGGACTCAGGTTCATCACACTTACGTACCTAAAAGATCGGATTGCACTCACACCTCATATTGACCTCACCTCTCTCATGAAGTACCCAGAACTTCTCTTAAAAGGAAAAACTACGGGATTTCTACAAAGTCTGGCACATAAGCCGAATTAGAGGACGCCATCTGCATGATGTTCCTTGCTTATGTAGAGCCCCGGAGTCATACCACAGAACAGTGTTTCTTGGTTTATCGTGAGTACCAGCAGAGCAGTAAAGTTTGAGTCAAGCCAAGAATTTCACCAATACAGAGCTGTGTTCAGTTTTATCTGTATAGCACTAAATCACAGTAATCTCAAGGTGCTTTAAATTGTCCTGTAAAGTCTCTACAATAATCTGTGGAAACTATAAACAAGCTACTGAAATATAAATTAAGAAAAAAACAAACAAACATGCAGATTTGTGAAAATGAAAAGCGTAATGTTTTCTCCCCTGAAATCTTCAGTTTTGTTTTCTTTGTTTTTCACTTTGCCAGTAACAGTGTTCTTCTGCAAACAAGGACATAACATAATCCATGTTGTCTTACTTTAAAGGGAAATTTCCTTGCTCATCCCAACTCTACAAAAATAGAATTTTAACAACCGTTTCAATGAAAAACACAATTATGTTATTATTGAAATAATTGTTCAAATGAAAACAATATAAAAACGAATATTTCTATTTATCTAGTTTGTTAGTTCATTAGTTATTTAATGTGTGTCTCTTCCTGAACAGTTCAGTTATTTAATTATCATAGCACACAGACAAAATAAAATAAAATAAAAATGTAGGAGAAATGGGGGTCAAAGGTTAGTTGGAGCCTACAGCTTTATTGGACCTGAGACCTAAAATACACAAATAATAAAGCACTTTTGTGAAATACAGTATCATTCCACTACAGATTTATAAGGTGATCTTGAGCAAGGCAGTTAATCCCGTGCAGCAGTAGGAACAGACTTGTGATATTGACAGCTGCATTTGTCTCCATGCGTCAGACAACAAAACATTTCAGTTCAGACGTTTAGAGGCACGCTTCTTTGTGCTGTACCTAAAGGTTACGAGAGCAGTCCTGTACAGATTAAAGGTCCAAATGTGATATCATAAAAAAAAATAAAAAAAACCACACACACACACACGAATACGACATGAATAACAATTATGACCTGGATGCGAAAAAGTATACATTTTGGCATATCAGACCTTTGTGTTGCAGCCATGTCTCCTGGCAGTAGGCTGCTAAGTTTCTAAAAAGATGTGGTGTGAGTCACTGCAATCTGCCTTCAGTCTGACTTGAAAGGAAGAAAAAGTAGAGCTGTCCAGAGACGGCATTTTTCTTTTCCACGATCTATGATCCTGACCTTGTGTCAGTCATGTTGAAGGACACAGAGTCATTAAATAAAACAGCAGAAGCATTTTGCACACAATTACTGGAGAGTAGGACTAAAGAGAAAGCTGACCAGCAAGGGTTCATTTGAGTCACTGCTGTTTCATTACATGCCACTTGTGATGGACCGAGCAGCGAAGGAAACTTAGGCACAGGTTAAAGTCCAAAGAAAAAAAAGATTTTTCCCCATTTAACCCAAAAACATAATTGGTTAAATCATGCAAAAATAATCAAA